TGTGCTCCTAAAATTGATGCTTCCATATGTTTGCGCAAAAAAGTTTAGGAGACCATAAGGAAAAAGCGTATTCAAATGAAAATTTCCCATGAAAAGAATTTCAAGAATAAGAACATCCCTAAATAGAATGCAAAGTACATTTGTTTGTTTCGCTTTTAAATATAGAAAAATTGCTAAAGACTTGCCATGTTTTCCAAAGCTAACTCCACCTTGTGGTGTGCTCTTGCCTCGTGACAAGCAAAGATATTTTACATGTAAAGGGAATTTTTTTTTTTTTTAATGGACACAGAATTAGTAGTGACATATTTACAGAGTCATTTTAGTAATTAGCTAGTAGCGAGACATTTAGTTAGCCTATGTATATAATTGTCGACACTAATCACGATCATACAATCGACTGGACCCGAGTAAACTGTGATCGTTATCAAGTTTGAAGTTGAGACTCAGCTAGAGTAGCGCCAGAGCTCCGGTGGTAGTGCCGTTGTGGGAGAGTTTTTAGAATTTTTTTTTTTAATTTCATGTTGAAAATTGTAGTTTTTTTTTTTGTATTATCTTTCATTAATTTAAAAAAAACAACTTTATAATATACTATTCAAATAGGATTGTCATGCATCATAACATTATTGAGATAAACTAATTTTGCCAATCATCTCTTTTTGAAAAATCTCTTTTTTTAAGTTGAAGGTTCGCCAGCCTTGATGAACGGGATCTCCCTCACCAACCATGAATCTCAATAGGGCAAAAGAATACAATCAAAAAGGAAATACATTTTGGAATATCAGTAAGTAGGGGCCACAAACAATTATGTGCATCCATGTCCACCAAATATTATATCCCCCCAAACCAAAATAGATAAAATAACCCTTTTTTGCCTTCGCAAGTACCAACGACCTCTCTTTGGGCAACGAAGTGCAACTCTAACAAACTCAGCATCCGATATTCTTTTAGACACCAAATAAGAACACCTATTATGCTAGCACGACCCCTTATTTTCCTTTCTATGATTGCATACAGCCATACACGTCCTTGTCACACACTCCCCACATTTTCATAATATTATATACCTCATATTAGTAATGTACGTTTTTAATCGTTGGATCTTATTAAAATCATATCACAATAAAACAAATAATACAAAATAATTTTTTTATTACAGATTTAATGGTTAAAAAATAAAACTCTATTAATAGTATATTTTTTAAAATTTTATGGTAGAAATCTATTATATGATCCATTACAACCTGTCATTTTTGTTGTACCATGTAGTCAATTTTTGAGGCCTTAGAGAATGTTCAACTCAACATTAAATAAAAAAAAAAAAAAAAAAAAAAAAAAAAAAACAAAAATTTTAAATTAATTTTACCATTATCCAATACTTAAGATAAGAAGTACGACTAATACGTGAAGATTTACAACGTTATAAAATGTTAAGAGGTACTGATGATGTTGAATACCATATAAATAAAAGATGAATCTCAAGATATGAGGCCTACATTTTATTAATTGTGGTACTTCACACCAATAATATTATGAGGTATACGTTTTATTAATTGTGGTACTTAACGCCAATTTTGAATATTATAAGGCCTCCAAACCTTTCCAAAAGTTTTTATCTACTTTGTTCTCTCTCTCTCTCAACTCCAACAAATATTTTTTCTCTCCCCAGCTTTCTGAGTGTTCGAATTATCCTTCTTTTTCGCCAAATGTCTGTTTCTGAGATATCTGATAACTCACCTTCGTCCTCCTCCGAGAACAACATATCTCCTTTGAGAGTTCAGTTCGTGGCCAAATCTACGTCAGAAGGACTTCTGAGGAAGTTCTTCGACGCTACGGAATTCGACTTCGACTACGAGAAGAGCGGGCTCTGGTCCCCTCCGGTCAGGCGCAGCGTGTTCCTCGGCTCCCCCGATCGAATATTCACCGAACAAGAAATGCTTGCCAAGCTTACAACTCTCATGGAAGCTCGTAGAAATAATGGTAGAAAATACAAAGTCTTTCGCAGAGTACGTACTTGTTATTGTTGTTATTCCTAGTAGTATTATTAGTGCTGTTTATTTCTCTCTAAATTGGTCAATCTGAGAGTGAGAGAGATCAGAAAAATGTGAATCGAAAATTTGCCTTTTTTTTTTTATAACAATATCCGTCCTAGTGTTTTATGGGTGTGAATTGTTGTTAAGAAACAAATATACAGATTTAGAGTAGGAAAAAAGGGAGAAACAAAGAAGAAGAAAAGAAGAAGATGATGAGAGCGAGAGAGAGAGAAAGCCCCACCGTATGATGAAAATGCTCCTTGTGTTGAATGAAGAGGAAAAAAAAAAGTATATTCTCTTGGGCCCTTTTCCTTCTCTTTCTCTCCTTTTCTTTCTCTTTCACTATGCATTAATACTTTCTTGGATCCTTTTCCTTTCCCTTTGTTTTTTTTTCATCAATTCTCTTTCAGTATGCATTAATGAAACTGGGAATTCCTTTTGCTTACTTTTCTAGGCTAAGACCATTTTTCTTATGGTATGTCATTCAATGAGTATTTACATGTCAATAAAATAACAAATATGATATTGGCTTTAGGTGTTATCACAAATTTATTTTAGCTCTCAGATATATTTTTTTTCCCAGTCTCCCAACAAATGGAAAATAGACTCGCCAACTGAAAAATGACAATGCACTTGCCACATTTTTTTAGCACTAACAATTTGATCGACAACTTATGAGGAGAATTTTGTGAGAGTTCGAGAAATACCCCACTGGTAGGATACATCTCTAAAACATTAGATCACGTCAAAGTCATATCCAATTAAAAAAAGGTACGGCAATTTAATAGAACTTGACGTAGATTAATGGACTGATAGATATTTTTTCATACCATACCACATCAACCTGGAATGGTACTAATAGATTCCCCGACAAACACAACATTATAAGTTTTGGTTTTCTACAGAAGCAACAGAAACAACCTTCAAGCGTCACAAGTCATGTTGACATAACAAATTTTGGGTCCTCAACTCCAATGAGGAAAGTCTGCCAATGCAAGTACATGTCACAAATTTGTGTTTGTTTTCTCATGGACCAGAAAAAATGCCCATAAGGCTGTTTGAGATTGCCTGCGTAATGCAGCTTCTGGTTCATTTTTTTTGAAGGCTTTCAAACTTATCAGTTCCTGAAGATATATCTGTCTGCTTTCAGTACAAGTAGGTGTGATGATGGACCTAAAAAGGACAGACCAATTACATGATTTCTTTTCAATGCCTGCATTGCACAGATGGCTCGCCAGAGTTCTCAGTCTCAGCCTCTCACAAGACAAAACTATGTCCTGTTTCCCCATTCACACACATGCACATCAAAAAATCCAAAAAGTCTTGTAAGAACTTTCAATTTGCTGACGATTAACACAGCAAGCCAAAAGGAAAGCGTGCGTTTCACAAGAGAGAGAAATGGAGCTTGCAGGAACATTACCATCCCTCTTAAGTCTTAATCACGTGGAGATCAAAAAATATGAAATAGATAGTTTTTAATGCAGATTTAACAGTTAAAAATAGAGACCTGTCAATGATTTATTTTTTCAAGCACTACCGTGAAAGCTCCCTTGAAAACTATGAGAAACAAAGCCCCGACTTGATTTGCTGGTCTGAATTTTGTTGATTTGAACTTTTTTCTTTGAACATAAAAAAATTTAAACTGTGTGGTTTAAATTGTAATTCAAATTAGTGTTTAAATATGCAGTTAAAATTTTAATCTGAACAGAGAATAAAATTCGAATATGTGTTTGATAGGTGTAAAAGGCGAAGAGAGTAGACACATTTTTACTGTTTAAAAAATGATTTGAACGGTTGAACTTAAGGGAAGCTAAACTCTAAATTGGACAGTTTAATTCAGTTTAAACGGGAAATATAATTCGAACTACTTGCTTATCAAATATGAATTTAAACTGTATTCATTTTTCAAACCGAGTTAAATTAAACTAAAGGAGTGAAACAAATGGGGGCAAAGTTTATACCGATGCCAAAGTGCCAAGCTGTCTCTGCAGGAACTTATATAGGGAAATTAGGCCCACCCTATAGAGGGAAAAAGAGAAGGAGAAGAACAAGAAAATGACAGAAAACAGGAAACTTCTGTGGAATGGGAACTGGGAACTGGGAAGCATCCAGTGTTACTAGATTTTCCCAAGTGGGTATTAATGACAAACTTCTTTTGAGCAAATTATCATATTAATACCTACGTTGGATTGGTTACTACAGAGAGAGTGGACACATTTTTACTGTTTAAAAAATTATTTTAACGATTGAACTTAAGAGAAGCTAAACTCTAAATTGGACAGTTTAATTCAGTTTAAACGGGAAATATAATTCGAACTACTTGCTTATCGAATATGAATTTAAACTGTATTCATTTTTCAAACCGAGTTAAATTAAACTAAAGGAGTGAAACAAATGGGGGCAAAGTTTATACCGATGCCAAAGTGCCAAGCTGTCTCTGCAGGAACTTATATAGGGAAATTAGGCCCACCCTATAGAGGGAAAAAGGGAAGGAGAAGAACAAGAAAATAACAGAAAACAGGAAACTTCTGTGGAATGGGAAGTGGGAACTGGGAAGCATCCAGTGTTACTAGATTTTCCCAAGTGGGTATTAATGACAACCTTCTTTTGAGCAAATTATCATATTAATACCTACGTTGGATTGGTTACTATCTGGGGAAAGTTTTCCATTTAGAAGAAAGCCAAAGAAGAAGTCTTGGAATTGGCGATTGGCTTTTGCTAAGTTTGTTGGCATCAATACTATATAAGTTTCCTTACATATAAGTCAACCATATGCACTTTAAGGGATGATATTTGAACCTTTTAAGCAGTAATTAGAGGCAAAGCAATGAATAGTGTGTGGTCATGATAAATGTCCGTTGTAGTTACACCAGAAGAACTACTAAAATCTACAGTAATTTTTTAAAAGAAAAGGAATATCTATCCTCAGATAAAAAAAAAAAAAGAAAAACTACATAAAAAAGCTTATAATGAGCTACAAAGTAACGCTTTTAATATTAATAGTACAGAGGCTTATATACATTCGTTTGAAAAACCAAAACTGTGTAGATAGTGAATTTACATTAGCAGAAAGTTAAAACACAAATCTATAGTTTTCCAGCCCATCATCATTTATGTGTTTGAATTACAAACATCTCCTCTTTTTCTCTATTGGCTGTATGGCTGCAATTAGAACCAAGAAAGAATATTTACTTTAAGGTTAATCAGCTTTTTAAGTTTTTACTCTAGTTGTTGCCTAAAACAATCAACATAAGTTAAAAGCATAAAGAGCTAACATAATGAGTTTCGACATTTGTGCTTGAAGTAGTTAAAAGTAATTTCGAACATGTTTTTGAAAGAGGATTGAGTTCTACTTCTTCTTTAAAAAAAAAAATAATAATAAATACAAAATACAAAATCTCAACAAAGATATTAGGGAAAACTATATAGAACTCCATCATATTTTAGAGAATCAATGTTGAAAAGTAGACCTGCTATGCATCTGAGATCAGACCGGTAAGGGACTTTGTTGTAGGAGTTCTTTCCCTGTAATTCCACCCTTCAAATTCTTAAAGTAAATATTGTAGTCCTTCTCTGGGGGTGGATTTTCAAGGTCTACTGTAAAAGGTTCGTTAAATGGTATGACACTCTTTACCTGTAAAGGAAAATAGAATTTTGTTACAAATGTTCAAAGTTGCCACCAACTAAAAAGTGAAACAGAAGTTGAATTTCCAGAGTAAAACATTATGGGAATCATCATTTAGCAGAAGCCAATATAATGAAGTAGGACAACGATAAAAGTTATCGCTCTTAAAGCCTACCAACCAATCATAGCCTTTAAATCTTTTTCTTGTTCATAACAGACTGCCATGATTTCTTATTCAAATAAGACTTGACATCTCTAGTATTGCACAAGGGCACTTCATAATTTTTCAAGTCATCATATAAATAGAAACAAAGGGAAGTCTTATCTAACCCTGCTGTATTTACCACAGTGATTTCAGTATTCCCTACTCATTCAAACAGATTAGTCTTTTCCTACTCTCTATCATCATCAAAAGTCAAACCATAAAATGATGTTTCTTTGTGAAGTTGTTTAACTCCACTTCAGAAGTTTGCCTAAAGAAAGAGATAGGAAAGCCTTAAACCAAAAAATATCTGTTGAAAAGGCGTAAAAGAGTATAACCTCAAATGTCTTGTCAAGTGCATATGGACTTTCCAGAGCAGCAATACAAATAAGAGCAATTTCTTCTCTCGACACCTTACCCTGAATGCATTAAGGAAATAGAAGTGTTGTCACAAGAACACCAGTATCTATAAACAAGCGCTCATTTTTTCAGAGTTCCTCGATTAACATTTCCCAGCAAACAGTCGTATACAAAGTGATTGAGCGACATCTGATTACATACCGTGATATTGTCTCCTTGATCAAAGATGAGATCTGCTCCAGCAGGCTCCTCAGTTAATGCACATGGCCTCACAATTGCATGTGGTATTCCGCTCTCCCGTATCAAATCCTCCCCCTAATGGAAAACTCCACAGTTAGAAAAATGTAGATTTTACACTTCTGTATGTGCTTCTCATTTTCTTATCTTTAGGTTTGTATTCTTAAAAAACTTTTATGTCTGTTAGAAGCGAGCCACAATAGAATAAGGTAAGAGGAAATGGGATGCCAGTTAAAATCTATCCCACATAAGTGAAAATAAACAGACAAGGTCATATAAAAAGAATGGCGGGACTGAGTATATGACATCTGTCAATTAGGGCTAAACCTTCAACTTAAATGTCAGGACAAAACCCAATTCCTTGTTCAAGCGGACGGCGGGTGGTTGTTTGCTTAGATCAATTCCTGGTCTGTCAGGCCGAGTAACTCCTGCAGAGCTAACATGTACAAACCTACAGGAAAACTCAACCAATACCAGGAATTTTTAAGAGAAATTCCAACATATTAACTTTATTCAAACATTTAAGAAAAGTCAACAACACAACTACATGAGGTATTGTTATACCTAGGAGTTATAGGATCCTTTATATAGGCCCGGATACTTGACACTGGAAGTTGAAATGCACCTTCCACAAACGTCGGGTTCAGTTTCCCATCATATTCAAACTTGCTGAACATAAGCTGCAATGATTTTGATCTGTCATGAAAAACTATTGTACTGATCTTAAAGCAGGAAAGGCGGGTATGAGAATTAATGTAGAGGAACATGCCTGAAATGAGACAACATTTGCTGGGTCAAATGGAGGAGCACCAAATACAGTTTGTGCTCGAAAAATAGGCCTTAAAGAAGAAAATGGCAAGCGCACCTGAAAAAAAGAAAGCATAATAAGAAACAAAGGATTCATGATCTATTCCAAAGCTCACTAATTAAGGTCATGGTGTTACTTACTGATTGCCATTGGTCTTTTACAGTATCAAAGCCTACTGTATAAGCAAGAGCATCCCAATCACTGCTAGTCCGAATCATAAATTTATAACGTCGACCATCACCTTTAAGGCGCAGCTCCAAACCATCATATGCAGATAGATCCTCGGGTACTGTAAAATTCTAAGAACGAATAAAGTTTCATATGAGTAAACATAAAATTGAAATTCTGATCCAATATAAATAAATAAGCTCATTGCCAAGGGCCTGAAAAATGAATCACTCTCCCCTATTTAGAATCCTAAGCACGCTAATTACTGATCCATGCAGGAATTCCACGTTAGAAAATCTTAAAGTTAAGCTATTAAGACAACATGTCTTTCATTATTTCTCAGAAAGCATACTAGTTCAACCTTAACCAAATACATAGAAAGAAATGAAAATAAATCATTTCTACTGGTACACTTGAAAAGAAACGGACAGAGCATTGTATCACAATAGCACGAAAATATGATTGCACTTCTGCTGCTGCTTAATTTGCAAGGAAAGCTGAGAATGTGCCTTGCTTAGCATCAAATACTTGGGCAATAAGCATGCAAATGGATGTGAACTATACCAAAACGACCCAACTTAGAGAAACTACCTGATATGATAATACTACACTCTGATAACTCCATAACTTTATTTTTTTTTTCCTTTCCTTTTTGGCAAAAGAGCTTACAGCAGTGGTTAAAACCGTAAGGGAACTTAGAGGATTGTAATAATTTCAAATCCTTAGAACCAACTACATTGCCATCTTGAAGGCAAAGTCCAAATAGATAATACAACAAGAAGTGCAAAAAAATGTTGTTTACCTTTGTTCTAATACTAGTAAAACCACCGTTGTTTGTGGTGGAGACAACACCTGAAGAAGACATACCAAACAGATTATGGTATAACCAAAAAGAGAAAGACAGCGAGACACCATAATTCCAAAGAAAGGAATACGAGATAGGAAAACTTCTCAAGTTCAACAAGAAGAAACCTTTAAAGATCCCAGTTGGTCGACCATTTTCACCACCGGTTTGGTCAATCTGAAATGTACTTTCACTAACTCCACCCATTACAACATCATCCAAAGCTCCCCAAGCAAGTTCCTTAAAATTGCCATCTGCAAATTACAAATGACAAAAAAAAAAAAAAAAAAAAAAAAAAAACCTGATTCATGACCAAATTAACTGCAAATCATGCCATGCAACATTGAGGACTCTTGACCAAATTTCACAAAAAGAACGTATTTGCTTGGTTGTCTTCTACAGAATTATTGAGCATGCACAAGTACTTAATTTCATTTTTCTTGACCATGTGTTCTGTTAACTCGGATTCTCCATGATCCTCCAAAGATTGAAAATGAAAAAAAAAAAAAAAAAAAAAAAAAAAAAAAAAAAGTTCCCTAATCATTTCAAGTCTTGTTTGTGCATAATTTTTTTTTTCTTGCATTTTCCTGCAGAATATAAATGGTGACCATGGTTTCCGTGAGTAGAAGACTGTACCTTCAAAGCCAAATATCAGTGTACCATTTCGAAGACCAACACTCTTCTTCACAGCATTGAGCAAATTTTTCATCCCAATATATTCCACCTTCTCAGGTGGATCCCCCTTAATCTGCATTCATCAGTCAAACAATGCCTTTAAAAAGTGAATGCCGAAAGTAATTTAATGGCTAAAAATAATCTAGTAGAAAGTAAACTTCCTATCTAGAAATAAGCAGAACCCCGACTATACGAAGTAGGATCTGAGTTCGCCACCTCTGGTTCGAAGAATTTGATTCCCTGTAACCCCAAAATATTTAGATGTCATGCAACTAAGATAGGAAGGAAACAAAGACTGAATATACAGAAGCAATGATGAGATCCTAACACATTTTCTGTGCAAAAGAAATATTTTTTTTTTCCTTCTCCAATTTTAATCATGGTCCAACTCTAGAAACATCTCAGTGCAAAATATGTAAATGTTGTTCATTTCATCAATGGTTGTAATCATACTTGACTGTATTTTGCTCTATCAGGAGTGTCTCCTTCTTTTGGTCCAATGATGACAGAAACAACATTGATGACCTTCCTCACTCCTTTGAAGTATTCAGGGACCAGGGTACTCTCCTTAGTAACGTCTCCAAGTACCTGACAATTTTTTTTATTAGAAAAAAGATAATTACTTCAAAAAGATGAATGAGCAAAAGCAAAAACAGCCATATTGCTACATGTAAAGGTTAAATATTCTCCTTTTCGGAAAAAAAAAGGGTTAACAAAGTTGGCCAGCTTACCAAGTCAATGTCTGGGCCTAGGATTTTTCTTGCCTTCTCTTCATTTCTCACCTGAGAGATGTTTCATATAAAAAAACAATAATCAAGAAAATGAAAGCAGCCATTGAGTAAAAACTATCAGAAACATGTCTACTGGTGTTATATTTCAATTCTTGTTCTCTAGCCTAGGAAACTCCTGCAACGATTTGCTCACAAAAATTGTATAACAACAGGAAAGCAGCTATATGTCAAGTGTCACATGGGACAAGAAGAATACCAATACTCGGACTGGCAGTCCTTTCTTCCTTAAGATGTCAACTACTCGTCTACCCACACCGCCAGTTGCTCCGGTTACCAAGACAATGCCAGAGGTTTCCATCTTTTCCGGTTTACTAGGAGATGGACCGGAGAGTTTTTCAATCACAAATTCCAAGAACTAAAACAAATAACAAGTTCTTGTTAGCTGCAGCATCACGATATTTCCAGGCTATGCAAGAGCAAATCTGAAATGAAAACTTCATCTGACCTTAGCAGGAGACGGAAGCCCGTTAAAGAAATAAAATGTTTTCAAAAATCTCCCCAAGTCCCAACCTTGGTTTTGAGCTTGTGCTGATATTAGCCCTCTATACAATCTTGGAGAGAGAGAAGCTGAGTTTGGTTGGTAAAGGAAGTACTTTGGTCTGTGGTTAAGTTGAAGAAATGGTTTAGGAAGTGGAGAGGACAAGAACTTATGATGTAAAGATTTGGTACAAAGGTTTCTACCAACTGGTGATGAAGAACCCTGCAATTGCAATAAAAAAAAATACAACAACTGAAGCAATCATGAATTCAAATATTATAAACAAAATATCCCCAGTAAATTTGTGGTAGATTTAATACTTCTGCAAAGTTCAAAGACTTGGCTTACATATAGTAAATATATTCTCATTGATAATCAGTAGTTGAATATGTCTACCCTATATGATATTCCTGCAATAATTTGATTACTAGAATCTAAAATAAATATAAAATCAGACAAAATTCGAAGTGCCCACATTAAAACGTGAACAAAAACAATAGCTAACAAATAACCAATACCCATTTCATATAACAGTCGGCAAAAAGCACACAAGGAAATAAAAATAAAAAATCTTAAATCACATAAGCTTGGAAGGCAGAAGCATACAATTTACGTAACAAAACAGTTACAAACGTAAAACCCAGTTCCAAAATCCTATGTTCTAACAAACTATGACTAACTTGGTTCATTAATGATTTTTTTTTGGTTATTCTTTCAAGAAACGTTTCAGCAAGCACAAAACAAAGTTTAAAAGCTTTGACATTTTCACCTGAAGATTGAAGATGGACGATGACAAAGGAGGTGGTAGCTTCAGAGAAGCGCATTCCATTTTCACAGCCACTGATGAAAATTTTGGAGGCTTTACATGGTATTAAAATTATTAACTTTTCTTTGGCATTTATATATGTTGCTGATATTTTGTATGGGATGAGTAAATATAGGCCACACAAATACCAACCCAACAGTTGCTTCTTCTAGAATCTCATCATATTAGTTTGGAAGTGAAAATAGTCCAGAACAGGGCTTAATAATATGCCATACAATATTGTCAAAAAAAAAAAAAGAATGCCCATATTGTCGCGTCATATTCACAATGCGGATTAAAATTTTTAATTTGAGATGTGACGTTTTTTAAGAATTTTAAAAAATTAAATGTGATTTTTTTGAGAATTTTTAATTATAAAAACTTAAAATTAAAAATTTAAATCGATAAAATAAACGAGATTTAGTTACTATTTTTTATTAGAGTTACATCTTTTTTCTTTCTTCCTTTGAATGTGGTAAGGATTAAAGTTCATTTCCCATCTAATGTTGTCTTAACTTACACAATAGCAATAAGAATTTGGTGGGTAAGGAAGTGTTGTTAATATCATTAGTTCCTGAGGGACAAGATTGTGTCACTTTGGTTGCTATTTTTTTATTATTGACGAATTACTTTATGAACTTTGATTTTTTAGTCTTGACATTAAAATTGATAAAGAATTTTTAAAATTTAACAAAAAATAATCATATTTTTATTGCGGAAGGTATCCCCGTTTGATTTTTTTAGTGTAATCCTTACTATATTAAAAGTAAACTTGATAAATATTCTTTTACTAATTGACGCAGTAAAATAATTTATTTTTAGAGCAATTTTAATTATACTAATTATTTTATATTTTTAGTCAAAATAGTTAATGATTTAACTTTTTTTTTTTAATCTTTTCTCCACTCCAACCATTAGCTAAATGGTTAGCTATTTTAGATAATATTTTTCACACTAACTAAATATAACTAGCATGGAGAAGCTAGTAATTTCATTTTTTTATTATTTTATTCAACTGTAAATAAATGTAAAGATTTTTTTATAATTTCAATATAATTATTTATTTTTTAAATTCAATAAATACTAAAATAATCTATATTTAGTTAAAATATAGAGTATAGTTAAATTAACTCACTAGTTAAAATAATTTTTTAATCATTTTAGTTAGAATTTAGTTAAAATTTGAAGAGTTCTGTTCGAGATGCTCTTACTATACAAAGCTTTAACTTTAAAAATCGCACGGGTGCTGTTTAAATAATAAATATAGATGAACAAACAAAAAGAACACTTTACTATCAAATCTATTGGGCAATAGAGATTAGGAATTCCCTCAAAACTATATATGCAATAATCATATAGTATCAATATTATGCATTTATGCTACTGTTGATTAAAACAAACTCCCTGATTTCATTTTGGAAAACAATTAATGACATCTTTACATATTACAAAATCAGTATCCGACAAAGATCTTAGTTGATGTCAAATACATTATTCTCGTTTTCTGTTACCATCTTCCAAGTTTGATAGATACTGGTTATATATTATTCCAAAAAGACACAAAGTAGAAACTGATGCCATGTTGTTCACTGAGTTTTCCATGACCCCTATACATCATACGGTGAAACCAAAGAAACAAACTTGTACGGACATGTTTCAGTAAAACATATAAATTCTGAAGCCCTGCATTTTTTTCAAGAGAGTAATTTCAAATAAGAAAGAGAACACTTCTATAATCCTATTGATTTTATATCTTAGTACATTTTTTGTTTCCGTGGCGTATTTCAGCTTGTTCTTTCTAATAGTCATCTTCAGCTCTCACATTGCATCTGCAACTTCTCATTTAAAGACAACTCTTCACCTCGTACCCGGTCGAACAAATTGGACAGACAATGACAAATCAGTACCTAAAACAGTGAACTTCACAGATGGCTCAGTAGCGCGTTTCGTACTTTTGCACGAAAGAAAAGTCGAACTCGACGGTCAATCAGGATCATTTTGGATATGAATTTTGCTTCTATTGCACTTCTGCAACTAATGATATCTGTGTTGGAAAATCACGTACGAAATTGACCAAACACATTTTAAAATTTTAATTTGATTCAAAAGTTAATCTATTAAGTTTTAAGTCTTTATATGTATATAAATCACTTCGCATTTTTATTCACTTTTCAGGTAGAATAATACACACATGCACTTTTCTTAATAATCTCTTCCTCATGTGTCTTCACCGAGCTCCTCCTCAAATTAAAGTTTTAAGTACCTAGCACATCTAAGCATTACACTTCAAACGGGAGCCAACTCAAACATGGAAAAGAGAGTTAAAATTATGTGAGTTCACTAAATCTTCCACCATTCGCGCACCTGCAAGAATACCAACTCTTTACGGGAGGCAACGTGAAAACTGCAACCAAGTGTGATCGCTTAATCCATACGATCTATCAGCTCTAATACCACTTGTTGGGAGACCATATGCGAAACTGACCAAAAATACTTCAGGAGTCTAACTTGACCCAAAAGATTAATCTATTAGGTATTAAGTCTTTTTATGTATATAAATCATGTCACATTTTTATTTATTTTTTATGTAAGATAACACACATATACTTTTCTCAACAATATGCTATCTAGCTGTTCTATTCGTGGAGCGACACGATTCTAAGACGACGTCAATAGGTAGTGTGGTCATCAAACAGGGAAAAACCTCTAGGAACCAACGCGGTACTCTGTTTCTCTGCTTCGGGGGATTTAGTACTTTTTGATGGTAAAAATAGTACCTCAATTTCGTCAATTAACACTACAGGTGTTCAAGTTTCAAGTATGAGAATTACGCATAATGGAAACTTGGTGCTTTTGAATGCAACCAGTGAAAAAGTATGGCAGTCTTTTAGCCATTTAACGGATACCCTTCTTGATGGACAGGTATTAATGAAAGGCCAGAGTCTTACATCCCAAAATAATTCGAAAAATATGAGCAGTGGCTTGTTTTACCTTGAAATTAGTGGTGCATCCTTGTCTGCCTATGCAAAAGGTCCTTGTTTGTCCGTCCCAAAAGTTCAAAAATAGAAGGTCACAACTTGAGCTATGTTCAGTTCAGGAACGTGAACTTTCACGTTCTCCTACGGGAGACGCCGTAGCTTGCAAGGTCCTTCGATATTTCCAACTATTCAGCCGTTCAGTTTTTGAGACCGGATAATGATGGAGGTTGTTAGGACTGCTCTTACTTAATTGATAATTTTTGCTGAAAATTGGTAGTATGAATTCAAAGAAATAAGGATTTTCTTTTGGGTTAGCTGCACTAAATTTAGAATGATTTTCTAGATTTGGACTGATTTTACTGAGATTGATTAGTGGCTGATTTGGTTGACTCTGCTGGTTGATTAGAGATGTTATATGGAAAGAATCTGTAGTGATTAATTTGGTTTTGAAGAGGGTGATCAGCTATGATGAGGTGGTAAGGTTTGGTGGTGTACGTAGAGGGTTGACAAAGGTTCTTTTGTGTGGGTACTGTGCAGATCATTCTGTGGAGTTCAGTGTCTGTGACAGATTTGTGTTTTAAGTGAAAAATCTTGCAGACTATCTTTATGGTGCATGTCAGTACTTGACTGTGAAGAAACGTTACAAAGTTGGGTGGTGTCCGCTAGATAAGTCCTCTAAGGAGACTCAACACAACAGCGATACGGTTAAGAATGGAGTCTTTGAGTGTGTAAGACCCTTTTTGGTGTTTGTAATCTTTCAATCTTAGTAGATTGTTCACTGTCTAGACGTGACCCTGCAAATGTAGGTGTGTGCACCGAACTGCGATATCAATTTCTTGTGTCTCTTATATTTCTGCACTATTATTTTCTGCCTTACTTCTCTGCACAATTATTTACTGGTTTCTGAATCCGAAACACTTAACATAATCTCAATGTGTTTCAACTAGTGTTGTAACACTCTTTGTGACACCGAGATAAAAACAGACCTTTTTGAGGTCTTAGAATCCATGGATGGAAGCCTAATGAGTACTGGAAGGTAATTCATGCCTTTACACTTGATGGACAAGACGAATGCCAGTTCCCTCTTAAGGGCGGTAGATATGGGGTCTGCAGCCAAGGCAAAAATTGCACATGTCCTGAGAGTTTTGATGGCTCTCAGTACTTCGAACCAATCAAAAGCCAGTTCCCAAATCGCGGTTGTCGCCTCCTGGCTCGTGACACGCCATCACAAGGTACTTCTGATCATTACCGACTTGTGAATTTTGGACATCTTTCCTGTCTCTGTTACTTTGATGAACGTCAAGCCATCCCAGGGTCAGAAGATGAAGATAGCTGCGTTGAAACATGAGAAAAAGACACATCTTGCAAGGCTTCTTTCTTCAAGTTTGAGATTTCTACTGCAAAAGGTTACTGTTTTTTTATTGCAGATGTTCTCACTCTTATGACATCTCCAAAACCTCTTGAATACTACTCTTCTCTACACATGAGGGTCCCAAACTCACATGTGAATGTTCCAATTCCTTCCCCGTATCCACCGCCTTCTTCTTCTTCTTCCCATTCTAATTCTTCGCGCCTAAATCTGTTGGTAACTTTTGCATGCCTACTAGTTCTGTTGATGATAATTGTGTGTGTGTTGGTTCTGCAAAAGAGGAAGATTGATGATTGTTTGGATCATGGTTTGCTTGAGCAAGTATCATCAGAAATTCTAATAAAGAGATTCTCATACCACGAATTATATGTGGCCACAAAAAATTCTCCGAAGAGTTGGGGCAAGGCGGTTTTGGAACGGTGTTTAAAGGGGTTCTTAAGGGTGGAAGAGAAGTTCTTGGCAGAAATGGCGACTTTAGGCAACACACATCACATTAATTTGGTTAAGTTAATTGGATTTTGTGTTGATAGAAATCATAGGATGTTGGTTTTTGAGTATATGAGTAAAGGTTCTCTACACAAATGGATTTTCTCTGGAGACCAAGATGCTACTCTTCATTGGAACATGAGAAAGAAGATTGCGACGGATATAGCGAAAGGCTTAATGTATCTTCATGAGGAATGCAGGCACAAAATTGCTCATTTGGATGTTAAGCCACATAACATCCTTCTTGATGCAAACTTCAATGCAAAAATCTCTGATTTTGGAATGTCTAAGCTGATCAACAGAGAGGAGAGCCAAGTGGTAACCGAGGCACGAGGAACTCTAGGCTAACTTGCACCGGGGTGGCAGAACTCAAGGATTACAGTGAAAGCTGATGTGCATAGCTTCGGGATTGTTTTGCTAGAAATCATTTGTGGTAGGAAGATCCTGGACTACTCACAACCACATTCAGAGCATGTCCATATGCTAAGTCTTTTAGAACAGAATACTCTCGAAAATCGACTGATGGATGTAGTTGAGTGTCAAGGTGAAGATATGAAAGATCATGTGGAGGAAGCCATTGATATGATGAGGCTAGGAATGTGGTGTTCTGATGGTGATTATACTAAAAGACCCTCAATGTCATAAGGTCTTGGAAGGTGAAATTGATGTTGCTGGAAGTAATGCTCGGAATTCAACTTCTGTGACAAGCCCGTCTAAATATTTTAAATTTTTTTCTTCTTCTTTCTTAGAGATCCCTAGACAGATTTTTTGATCACCAGCACAAGGAGCTACCGGGCGTCATCTCTGTGATATGCCAAATGAGTCTCCCCTTATCTCTATTCTATATGAAGATTTTTTTTTTTTCTTTTTTCTAAAGAAAAAGTGGCATTTTGTTGGCAAACATTTGTATGCAAAAAGCCTGTACTGAGTATGGATCAAAATAATCATATAGCCTGAGTGTTGGACACAAGTAAGTGTGATCTTTTTTATGTACTGTTTTTCATGAATATTTTTATGGACTATTGATTTAGACAATAAATCCTTTTTTTCACTGAGGAAAAATTTTCTTTGATATTTTTTGCTAGTTTGAAAAGAACTAAATTAGTACTATCTATTATTGTCTCCTAGACAGTGATCTAGTTACACTAGCTTTCAAGCCATTGGCGTCCTGCAAAGAGCTCGTTTGTTTATAAAAGCTTATTAGATAAGGTTGCATTCTGTGTGTGTATATATGTGTAAACATGTATGCTTGTGATTAATTAAAAAAATAAATTACTAACCATGATCGTTCCTATAAAGTTAAGTCGAAGACATATATAAATGTATGTAAAACAAGAGAAAAAAAAAATCAGATAATTAAATAATTATACGTGCTTGAAAGTTCAAGACTTGAAGCAAAACACTTTTGATTGTCGCATATTCATTACTATTGACTGACATACAAGTAGACCAAACAAGGTCAAAGAAAAGTGACCTGTTTAATTCAAAATGAGTTGCAAAAACATGCGTTTGCCGGGAGTCGAACCCGGGTCTATTGCTTGGAAGGCAATTATCCTAACCGTTGGACTACAAACGCTTCGATGACAGTTTGACGTAGAAAAGTAATAAATTGTTTATAATTTCTTCTTCTTTCAGCTCAAGCCCATCTTTGCTCCAAAAAAAAAAAAAAAAAGAGAAGTCAAAGAATGAAAGAATGAAAAGATGCAACAAGAAACTTTTTAACGGAGGTACAAATCTGTATGAGGTTCTTGTAGAGGTATTGTTGGGCCAAAGCCCTGTTTGACTGTATCAAGAACTCCGTAACGCTTGTGACTCTTGTAGCAAACAAACACGAGGTGTAACGTTAAGAGATCCGCTACAGAACGAATACGTTTATTTTTCAAATGATTCATATCGTTAAGTATATCCATTCCGAACTTCATTCCAATCAAATGATCTGCAGCTGCCAATATATCTCGCGGTAACAAAAATATAGTATTCTGAGGTATATCAAGATTCAGTTTACGGTTCATATTTCGTCCAATTTCAGCTAAACACTTCTCTATATGACTATTAGTAAGCCAATAGAGAGAAACATTAATGGTTATTATTTTTATCTGACTCCATCTTGAGGTGTAACGTTCAAATCTCCATTTTAAAATTCAAAAAAAAAAAAAAAAAAAGACTGGCATAGCTGGGCAAATCAGTCTAAAATAAAATGAATTTAACATATTTTCAAGCAAAAACAAAAAAAAGAAAAAAAAAAAGATGAAAAAGCGGTTTGGACAAAACATTCTCCCTAGCAGATTGCTTGGCTATTGATGGCTAGGTCAAAGTATTGCATTTCATTTGGAAGCTTCAATTTTGGTATCCCTTTTTTGAAAAAAGGGAAAAATAAATAAATAGATAAATAAAGGAGTCGGCAAATTCATCCCAAAGAACAATATATATCCATTGAAAGGAAATGTTCCCGTTTTATAATTTTATGAATTAGCAACAAATGTTATTAAGGCTGAGTTGATTGACAGTTGAAAAATCATTAAAAATCACGTGGCAAAGGATGATGATATCTTGATACAAAGCATTAGCGAAGGGTTTTTTTTTTCAATTTTTGGGAATAGAGAAAGCAATGCATCATTGAATTCATCATCCAATTGTAAAGTAAACATTCGAAGCATGCACTAATTTGTAGCCTTTTTACACTCTACTAGACTAAATTGGATTTCATGCGTATATATTTAGATTTTTTTTTGGAATAAAATATTATTAACAAGTCACATATAAAAAAGAACAAATAAGCTGATTTTTCTTCTGCAAGACTGCGACATATACATAATATTATATATATATATAATTTGTCATTCGAGATGAGATGTGATTTTTTAAGAATTTTTAACTGTAACAAAAAAAATTAAATGTGATTTTTTTTAGAGTTTTTAACTGTAACAAAACTGAATTGAAAATTCGATTCGTAAAATGAACGAGACTATATATAATTAGAATAAATAAGTAAGTAGTGTCTCTCTTGGAAATGCCTTTCGGCGACGGCAGCGGATAAATCTTGTCTAGAGACAAACTCTTCAAGTGTTGACATATGAATAATACAAGGACCTTTGTTTATTTTCTGCCCCACACTTTCTTCTTTGTCACACCATTAATATTCTGTGCCGACACTATTACATATTCAACGCGTATACATGCAAACTGCATTGTAAACATAATATATATATATATATATATATAGTTGCACTCATATGGAAAACATCGTGTAGGCATATCCCATCTTTCTCATTTGGTTAGTCTTTTTGAGTCTTCTTCAATATTGACATGTTGTTTTTTTTTTCTTTTTTGGGAAAATTTGATAAATGAACGTTTTTTATGACTTTTTTTAATAAATGGCCAAAATTTTTATTTTTTAAATAAATTGTCAATTTTTTTTTATTTGAGAAAGTCAATCAATGATTTTAGTTAATTATTAACTGATATTGACTAATAATAAAAAATTAACGAGTTATCAGTGATAAAATAAAATCAATTAGTGATAGACCATTAAGTCAATTAGTGATTGACCACTAAATTAATTAATAATTGACTATTAAGTTAATAAAAAAAGGTCGTTTTGCTAATTTTACAAAATTTCACCCATTTATTAAAAAAAATAAAACGTTCAAGAGGGCACTATATGGTACTATATTATAGTTTATAAAAAGTACACATTTTCATTAGTAAAAGAAGAATTCTTGAGGACTTAATTAGATATTTTCGATGAGAAAGGGAGGATATTATATAGATATAAGGGTTTGCATGTTAGTTTTGTGACTGTTGTTTGCATATTTATAAGAAAATAAGAGCTGTCCGGAGAAATAAGGAACAAGGATGTCCTACTAACCCTATACTAAATGATGGAATATTATGAAATTCAGAGAAACGAAGTAGACCCATGAGGGCTTGTCACCCAAAATATTTTCTTTGGATATTGAAGGAACAATATTAAAATATTGTTAATATTGGGGTTTCTAGTTTCTTCGTAACTTAATGATGTCTCACTCTAGTAATGTTGCTGATTTTTCTCTAAACAAACCAAAAATATTCCCTTTTAAGCCTTGAATAAAATAATAATTCAAAACTCCCATTGAGCAATACATGACCATACCTTGTTCAGCATTGACATACATGTATGGATTAGATATAAAATTATAGAGAGATTTATCATACAATCATGATCACAAGGTCAAACACTCAAACTCATCAACCACCGCCAATTTTGTTATTGCAGTTATAATTTTTTTTAAAAAAAATGAGGAGAATTGATTGCTTAGATCATGGTGAACCGCATAATATCTAGTACTTAACCGATAATTCCATTTTAAATAATAGCAATAATGAATTTCTGATCATCATTCTTTGATTTGGTTCTAAGGAATTAGTTATCAAACTATATTAACTTGCTTGATTAATATATCCGCTCCAGCTGCAGAAAAACAGTTAACAAATCTTAAATATTTAAGCATAAAGTTACCCCGATACCCGTATATAAAACATTCCACATAAATATATATAAATGTGGTTTTAATAGTCACTCTAATATTTATTTATCAGTATCAGTAAATATTATTGTTTTAACTATGTGATATTCATCCGACGGTTATAATTAATTGGTGGCTAATAAAAAAAGTTATATGACAATTAATGGGATTGGATTATTATTACGTCGCATCGTTGAATTTCTATATTTGGTGAGCAACCACAGATAGAAAATAACGAGTGAGAACGGGTACACGCACGCGCACGCACATCATTGAATTTCTATATTTGGTGAGTAACCACAGATAGAAAATAACGAGTGAGAACGGGTACACGCACGCGCACGCGCACACATATGGTTTTAATAATTACTCTAATATGTATCCACCAGTAATTATTATTGATCTAACTGTTGTAATAAATTATATATTTAACACATATATAATAATTAATGAGATTAAATTTTTATCATGTCAAATCATTAAATTTGTATATTTAATAAATAACCACCAACGGAAGTGTAACTATTGAAAACTGTTGTGTGTGTGTGTGTAATTTGACCTTTTGGTGCAGAAAGAACTACGATATTTGGACCGGTACTATGAGTATACAAGATTAATTAATTTCTTAAACATGTTCTTCATATTGTCACAATATCTTAACTAATTGTGTATATGCTTTACACTACAACTTCCAGGAGTCATGTCGCTTGGCCTGCTCCCCACTAATATATCTTGTTTTAGTTTTAGATTATAAAATAGACCCAAAATTAAGATGAAACATATCTTAACGACCAAAAAAGGTAGCCCTGCTGCCCTCATTTAACTATTATTAACCGTGTATCTTAACAACCAAGAAGCTGTGGTAACCTCATTAAACTATTTTTTTCACGGTATAGTATATAATAGTTGTAGGACACATTTTGGCATACCCTTGGCTTAAAATGAAAACTTTCTGGCCTACAATAGGAAAAATATGACTTATGACTCAAATTTAACATGTAAACTTTTAACCATGAAAAGAAAGGGTGAAAAGAAAAGGGATATGACTGAATACCACTGTCTCTTTTTATCCATAAAAAAACGTCACATGTAGAATGTTCCCCTATAAAAAAGTTTCTCCTATATATTTGCTATGTGAGTTTGTGATTGACTAAAATTTAAGAACATGGCTGTAGTACATTTCATTTTTTAGGATATGTATATGCAGCTCAAATCTCAACCGTTAGATGAGGTTTTAAAACGATCTGATTCATCGAAACTTTTACAGGTTTTATTATGTTACGGTTAACAATTCTTAATTTTTCAACCATAAACAATTTTTGTGTTAGAGGTGCAAATAAAGTCTCACATTGACAATAAATGAGAGTTATGATAAGTTTATAAGGGAGTATTGAGTTACTCCACTTATTAAGTTAATGTTTTGAGTTGAATTTCCAATCTCTTATATATAGTGGAGCTCATGATTCTAACATTTTGTTCTATCATTTAACAGTTGAAAATCTTCATGTATTGTAGTTCTACCGAATACTAGTGAGAATATCCAACCCAAATATGTTGATCAATTATCAATGCCTTTGACCATCATGAGGTAACAATGGTGAGGATATTACTCGATCTCTATTTTGAATCTGAACCATGCTGGCTTGAAAAAGCTAGACAGCATATTTGGTTATATTTACATGCGTGGCTTATTTCATGAAGAAAATTATATGAAACGTTCAATCCTTGCCTTCCCTCATTTATTAATGGCTGTTTGGTACCCCACTAGTGCCCCTGAAGCCTAAGTCTTGTCCATACTCACCGGCTAATTAACTAGGAAAAACAAATGTAAATGTTGGGACTTTTCAGAGGAAAAAGGTTGTCATAATTAAAGGCTTTGAATGAAGAAATAATAATGATGTCACACTCTCTAACATATTATCGATCGTACATGCCATGTACAATATATGCAATGGAATATGGTACACCTCGTACCCACATGACCCCTTTTTTCACAAAATAAGCTTCCAAGGACGTTTTAAAATAATTTATACTCAAGAAAAAGGACGATTTTAAATGAAGATGTGGTTAATTGTAACTTCAAAAGAGAATGGGTTACTCCCTTATCAAAAAAAAAAAAAAAAAAAAAAAAAAAAAAAAAAAAAAAAAAAAAAAAGGAAAAAAAGAAAAGAAAATGGGTAATGATCTTTGTTATATAACAAGTGTATGTTGTTCTTAATTATATGCTTTGATCTGAAAGAGTCTTAATCACAATCCCACATGATCTAATATATATAGTCATCTATAAGAACTACGTGGTGCATTTCAAGAGCCGTATATAGTCAAAGAGATGACAAAGAAATTTCAAATCAAATCCGCGGCAAATTGTGATATAATACTTGTAATTAACAACTGGGTTTTTTGACCTTGTTTAATTGTTTTTAAGCTTGTGTTGTGTTACTGATATGACAAGGAAAGCGTAAGTGACGGCAGGGGTTTGGTGCCCACATATATTATTCTAATTCTGATCTCCAAAAAGTGAAAAAGTAATAAGCTCGAATATGTAAATCCAAGTAATATCTTTTGTTAGTTTTTTTCGCTATTCTCTTTTTGGGCTACATTGTTGTGGTGATCAAAAAATTTAGTAAAACCCCCCAAAACAAAAAGGAAAAAAAAAAAGGAAAAGAAAAAGGCTAGATCAATTCATTTACATTATTCATGGATGGAAATTAACTGGCCATGACACAAAACTTACGAAATATTATTGGATGAAAGCTTATTTACCAAAAAAAAAAAAAAAGAAGCATTATTAGAAAAGTGAAAGAATCTAAAAAAGAAAAATAAAAAAAGGCAAAATATGAATTCATTTAATATTTTTAAATATGTGTTTGTTTTATAGGTTTGAATTACTATTTAAACCTTTTTGTTACAATATTTTTCTCACAAAATTTAACTTTATGTCTAAATTTTTCTGCTCAAATCTATAAACTAAATGAACTCTAAATTATTCTAGATGATATTGGTCAATTTTGTTATAACATATAACCTAAGAAACAATAGTAGTGGAAATCCGAAATGGAAAAAACATTAAAAAAACAAAAAACATGAAATCGAAGATAAGAGAGAAAAGATTCGCGTTACATGGCTTAAACACAAATGTTTCCAACACTAAGACGTAAATTTCTCAAATTTCTCTGCATTGACTAGTGAAGGTTAGGAGACTGTCTCTTTCAATCCCGGTCCCATATCTTTATGTGTTATTAAAAGGTGAATAATGGGCAATCCCAAAGGTCAAATTTTGTGAAAAGAAGTGATTGTGAGTCGTCTACAGACAGCAAGAAAGAAAGAAAAAGAAATAAAAGGAAAGAAATTTAAGGGAATAATTTAATTCTCATGGAAAAATATTTACATGATACCAACTCAAAACAAAGGTGAACTAGAGAAGACAAAATAGAAGAACCTAACTTTGAAAGCCATGAGATCAATGGATTGTCAAACTTTGCAATGTGACTCTCATTGTAAGATCATTTGGTAGATTTTTATTCACATTTAAACATGTTTTTCTCCGACAAGAAATCTTGTGCTTTCTTTTCGGAGAGATTCTGATACGCTTAGTATACTGATAGATCAGATTTTTTTAACAATTAAATCTGCATATTTTTTTAATTTTTATATGATTTTATACAAATTCAACGAATAAAGCACATAACATATTATTATGTTAGCATATCTCTTCTTTTTGTTTTCAAATATTTTTTCTTTCTTTCATCGTCTATATCGTCTATTCGGGACCAATAAGATCCTATACTTCTGCTTCACGGATTTTGACTTCTTAGCTCTCAAGCCACAGCTTGGCTTAGTGAGCTTAATAGCTCAGCTGATTTATGCAGTTGGGGTTCGGAGAATGTTTCTGACAGTCGATGAAAACGAAGCGTAATTAATTTATGTACCTGATTTAGTCTTAATTTCTGGTGAATTATTAATGATAATTCCAAATTTTCAATTCAAAATATATAAATATAGCTTTTTTAAGGAAGAATGTGCACCAAACTAGGCATTGTAATTTTACGTTAAGTTTAAGGATGGCATTATGATATTTAAATGCACATTATTTTTTCCTTGATATTTAAATTAAATGCCGACACCAAACTAGGCATTCCCTTCTTGATTTGGGAGTTACTCATTGTCTAACTAGAGATTTCTTCTAATTTCAGGGCTCGATTTTATTAGATTTAAGAAATTTGGCGGGCAAGTAAATATTTATGGCCAACCAGAATTGATCTAATAATTATCTTATTTTCTTAATATTATAGTTAATGCTAAAAGAAAGATAATTTTCTAGAACTACAAATCAATCTTTTACTATTATTTGACAAAAGTAGTTGTATTTTGTCGATTGTTAATGGTACACTAATGTGCTTCACACATAGCTAAAGTAAAAGATTCACATATGATTCACTAAAAGAGGAAACATATCACAAGTTTGACCCAATAAATTAATTAAAGAAAAGAATAATGCAACGCGTACTTAACCTAATCTATATTTTAATTCCTTGTGTCACACTTGATTTAGCTTATACTATTTTAGTCCATCCAAGCTGCATTACAATCTTCTTTTTTTTTTTTTTTTTTTGAGAATACATTGTAACCTATTTGTCTCTAGAAACATTAAAGATAATTGAAGCTCAAACCTTATAATCTAATTACTATTATTAATGGTGAATGGTCTTTTTAAATCTAAGTATAAACTTTTTACACATATAAATCTCTTATTATTTTATTACATGGCAGTAATACCTAAAAATTTTCCTTCAAAATTCCTCTTCTACTACTTAAATACATAGATACACACACATATACAAACCTAGCAGAGGCTCAAGAGTAACAGCAGCTAATTAAGAGGTTTGAAGTTTGGGGATGATTGACGGTGGATGTACATTTACATAAATATGGATAACATATATATATATATATACACACACACGTGTATATATGTGTATAAGAGTATGGTTGTAAGAAGCTAGAGGGAAAACACTGAAACAGTAGCAGGCGGCATATCCGTTTGGTCATTGCCCACCAAACTAGGCCTCCACGTGGTCGTTATTCATACGACACTAGACTTCAAAATGCAACATCACCACTCTGACTCTTACTTACGACTCCAATTTTCCCCTCCCCCCTCAAATTCCCAGTTTCCTATATTTTTCCTCCTCGACTTGGCCACTCCCTTAATTCTTCCAACCTTTTTACTCCAAGCTCTCTCTCTCTCTCTCTCTCTCTCTCTCTCTCTCTCTCTCTCCAACCTTCACGCGGCACTCGGCGGTGCATGACTTTCTCTCTCCTACAATATCAGCACTATATATATAGATACTACTACACAGACAAAACTCCCCAAAAAACAGCACAAACGAAACAACCCATAAATAATATCCCCCCAAATATTCAACAACTATCAATTAAACCCACAAAAACCTCTTCTCTTTCTCTCTCTCTCTCTCTCTCTCTCTCTCTCTCTCTCTCTCTCTAATATTGCTACACTACTATTAGTGGTTTAATATTATTTCTGATTATGGCTCGCTCAAGCGCTTTGGCACTCGTGGTTTTGATGGTGTTGTTGGTCTCTTTTGTGACGAGCTCCGAAGGCAGAAACAAGTTTGTGGTGTTGAAGCCGAAAGACAACAAGAATCTGGACAGAATCATGGGATCTTCGGACAAGTCTATGTTTCTGAGTGCCCTTCCAAAGGGCAGAGTGCCCTCTTCTGCTCCAACCAAGAAAGGCCACGCAGACGTCGTCAACCAGAAGCTCATTGCCCGCCACCTCATCGCCGTCGACCGGAGTCTCCGCTCTGTCCCTAGCCCCGGTGTTGGTCACTGATCATATAATATGTATATATATATATACACATATAATATTCTTGTTTTTTTTTTAATTTCTACATATGAGATGAGAACACATTTCTTAATTTATTAGTTCATATCCTTTCTTACAATTTTGGGGTCTTTCTTCTTCTCTTTGTAAGTTTTTGTTTGTGGGGTTCTTTTTGTTAGATGCAGAGACAAGAGAGGTGAAATGTATATATAGACAAACACAGGGCTTGAATAATCAGCTGATTTTATTTCCTTCTGTTGAGATTATTCAATTTGTAATCTCCATATTTCCCTTTATTGAATCGACGTTTTCTTCTACAATGAAGAGTATATCTTTTCTGATTTTTTTTTTTTTTTTTTTTTTTTTTTTTTTTTTTAGTTGTTGCTCTTTAACCAATGGGTGTTTAGGCCATTTGCTTTCATCTCGATTGATTTTACGGGACCTGTATGGTGACCAACAGAGAAAAGGTCAGTTATTTTCTGAAAGGCGTTTCTCTATATAGCAATACATTATTCTGGCTTTTGCATAATTTGAGTCCAAAAAAGTCAAATATTTATAGCATCTAAAAGGCTCCGCTAATACCCGCAATTAATATTTTCATTTAACAGCTTATTGCGTTAATTTATTATAAATTTTCCCTCAAAGGTTGAATTGGTCTAGCTAGCTAGTAGAGGACTACTACTTGTCATGAATTCGCCTGCCATTTGGCTCTAACCTAATAAATGAAAAATGCCCCAAAAAGGGTACTCAAATTTTTTTTTTATTAAAAAAAAAAACGCGTTTTGGGGGCACATATATGTCCACTTGGACTATATGACGGGTTAATGAATCCCCAATGGCAATGAGGGTTGGTTTCCAATAAAAATTATAATGTCATTTCGACAGAGCTACATATATGGTCACATGTTCATGACCAATTACCAAAAACCTAATATTTGATTTAATCGTGTGAAAAGAGTTCCGAAAGAAGTTGAAAAGAGGAGGGAAGTTTAGTGAGCTGTTACGTTAATGGTTAAATATAAAAAGGAGATAATTATGATTACGCAATACTATTTGGCTAGCTAGAGTAGAGTCTATAGCCTCTAATTGGATCTGGATTTTCTCTTTTTAGTTGTACATGACAACAGTTACCACCATCGTTTGTCTAAATAATTATATATGACCGCTATTTGCCTATATATTAGGGATTATATAATATATTACACATAGATATAGATGGAAACTAAAATGACTATTTCTAGTCAATTTCGTACCCAAAAAAGTTACTTGAAGAATCACGTAACGTTGATTATGGTAATAAGAGAAAGAAGAGAAAGACAAAGGTTATTTTTGTTAGTTTATCAATCCATCATAAAAGCTTAAGTTGTTAGGATATTGACCAATAATAATTTTATACTTTAACACTCCATCTCACGTGTGAGCTGGACAATGGACAAAATCGTATGGGTAAATTAATTAGAAAGCTCAACACGTGAATATATTTAAGCTCGAGATATATTAAAGACCCAATACATGACAATTTAAATTGGTATAAAGAGTGTAATTACAGGGGTTTAAACTCAGGAGCTCCTGCTCTGATACTATGTTAGTTTACCAATTCATCCTAAAAGTTTAAGCTGTTAGGAAGTTGGCCAACAATAATTTTATACTTTAATAGATTTTTATACGTACAAGTATCCATATATATATATATATATATATATATATATAACATCTAGCCATCAATATTGACTGGGGATAAAATATTTGAAATTTGCTAGAGATCGAGTATGGCTAAACTACATATTCTTTTATTATATGGCTCTCAAACTCTTCTTAAGGTATGCACTCAATGGGCTAATGTCGACTTATAAGAGCAAGTAGGTTACGTCTTGTGTTGGGTTTTCATGTATGCTTCTCCTGCCCAATTTCTTATAAGAAAAAATAAATAAATGACGCTATTGACTTGTTGATTCGGAACTCCTTCATGCGTGAGTCACAAGCAAAATATTTCTGGATGACCTTGTTAGAGTGATTGTAATATCTCTTAAAATATAGAAAGTCATATGATCCGTTGATTTAATTGGGTGCGATCAAATGATCAAAATAAATATTTGTTATTAATATATATGTCTGTTACAGCAGTTATGTTTTTTTTTTTTTCATTAAAATGTACTTTTTAATCAAAAGTTGTATCTGTTGTACTATTACAGTTATATTTAACTATGAAAATACACATTTTAATTAAAGGTTGTATTGTTGTAACAGTTGCATTTATTCATGAAAATACATGATTTTGGCTATAAATAAAGATTGTAATCTGATATCAGTTTCATCCTTTGTTCTGAAATTTAATAATATTGTTAGTTATTGAATTCGGGATTTGTTGTAATTTAAAGGTAATTTGTCAAAAAAATCCCCATTAGTAAAATTGTTCTTAGTGGGAGCAAATAAAACCTTAAACATAGTATTCCATATGCCTCAAACCCAATTCTATTTTCTGTTTTCTTTGCTTCAAACAATTTTCTGCGCCCACTTTTTTAACAGACCTTTGTTATATTTTTGGCAAGCAATTATCTAACTAAAGATTATGTGCTAAACAATTATGACCATTTGATCTGATCCTTGTTAGTTCTAAAAAAAGGCATATAATAGGAGGACAATGAAAAATTAATGTTCCCCAGCAGTTAAACACATTTAGTCGCTATTTCTACCCAATTGCGACTAAAAAGTTGGTTGTTGATGTATATGGTACGAAAAATGTACTTTGGCACTAAATATTTCTACTACTAAATTTTAGTCGGTAAAAGATGGATTTAATGACTACAAGCCTTTAGTCACTGAAAATTTAGTTGCTGAAGGTGCAATTTCTTATAGTATAATAAGAAAATGACAACTCACATGTATGTCAATCGGTAAATGGTACGGTAAAATTGGTATTGGAGTTGATATTCCAGATTTTATCCTATCATTATTATATGAATTTAATGGATATGCATTGGGCATATATATAAAGTTCAAAGGTTTGGTACTAGTACGAGAGTTCATGGATTGGGAGCCTTGTTAAATGATTGTTCACAAGTTAATTAGTTAAGTTATTACAATGTCACAAGTTATCTACAGAGTTCAACAAGCTCTAGTGACTTCCAACTTGATCAATAACAAATCAAGACCTAAATTACATAATTTTAACACCAACAAGTGGATACGAGAATTAAGTTTGTCCCTAGCGCTGCTTCCTTGTTGACCATGGCAAAATCCACTAAATTGAAGACCTTGACCATGAAAGATCGAATTAAAATTTTAATGCAGGGAGTTCCAATAATTCGGACAATAACCTAGGCGCAGCCCCTTTATCGTAGATTGAACAAGTTGCTCAAACTTAACTGTCAACGTTGACATGTTCAAATAATTAATGGATAACTAAATTTGGATCTAAAAAGTATATCTCTTTTTCCTTGTTTAGCTGAAATAACTAATCAAACAAACTTTGTACACCAATTAACACATGTGCTTAACTTTTAAATCATCTATTCCTTAAAGCAGAGACCATACATACATACAGACATATATAGATACATACATAGACATTCATACATACATACATATATATATATATATAATTTGCAGACTTAAAAAATAAGAAGATAAACAGGAAATGGTCCATCGCTTGGTGTATTAATATTATAGTCTTATAGACATATTAGATAGTAATGTGCATGTAACATAGACATTATGCGGCACAATATAAGATGAAACTGATACCAAATGTCTCCTTCTCCAAACCAACAAAGGGGCTCCACAAACCGCCCAGGTTAGTTGGAGACGCGAACCTATATGAGGCAAGAAAAATATGCTTAACTTCACCCAGAAAAGGCACAAATATAAATATATATATATATATATATATTGTGAGTCATGCGCCCGGTTTCCAAAATTGTAGTGGCATGCAGTGGGGCCCGTATGACTTTGTTGAATGCCCAATGGGGGAAGGTAGTCGCCAGTCCAATAGGCTGCCTGCCAAAAGATCTTTCATTCTTTGACTTTTGAGGTTGGACCACACGTGTCACTTTCTGCCTCATCAATTGCCACGAAACCAATAAAAAGGGGGCACTTATGTTCATCTGATAATCAAATTAAAATCCCCTACTCACGTTAAATATGTCTCGCTAAGTAAATTAATTAAACTCAATTTAATGTGACCCACTACTTTATAAATACCATTCTTGAGAAAGAAAAGTTGGTCCGTCCAGAAACCTATTTCGACTGTATGATTATAATGAAACTTATAATTAGTCCCTAAATTATTAAAAGTTACATTATAGTGATATATATATATATATATTAAGTACTTTAAATCTCTCTTTCTTTGTAGCATTGGTCAGGTCCTTTTTATTTTATTAATAGGTCTCAAAATTCCCAAAATAATAAAGAGAATAGAGAACGTGATGGCATTAATGATCATCTTTTTATTAGTAAAATCTCACAGTTTTAATCTATAAAACTTCAAAAGTGATTAAGCAAAAAGACTGGTTTTTAAGAGGAAGAACCTTTTTTTTTTTTTGAAGAAGAAGAAGAAGAAAAACACATTATTTATTTATTTATTTTAATTAACATTAATTGGTATTTATATGGACAAAGATGAGCTCTTATTTAATTTTTTGGGTTAATAATGTCGCGTGTTCTTGAATTTTCAAGTGAGTGACCATTTAGATCACCCCATCTAATTTTATAGCTAGACAAAAATCTCCTTTTAAGTACTTTTATTCCAAACAAGTGACAGCTTGCATAGTTCATGTACGCCGATAATTTACTAAACACTCTTCTAACAAATCATCTAATACTTTTAAAAGCAGCTTTTTGATCCGAAAAGCTAAAAACAGTTTCTAGAAAGTTTTGCTGAACTTTGGGAGAAGAAGCAAGGTTGTATTTAATGAAGAGCTGTTAATGCTGAGGATAATATTTTTGTTTCTTCAAGGCCCTATTAATGTTGAACTTAGTCCATCGTCATTGTCTCCTTTTTGCCTCTTCTTTTCCCCACACAATTGCAACACTCAGAAATGGCCGTAAGATTGTTTATATAATTACAACCACTCCAGCTTGCTTCTATGTTGTATGCTGGCACACAGTTACACATATTAAAACATAATAGCACTGAAAAAAAGGGGCAAAACATATTGGACCAAATCTCTAACCCAACCAGTTGCATTTGATCATATATATATATATATATATATATATATATATGTGAATCATTATAGATATGTTCTTCCGAATTTTCTATTTTTTCGCAAAGCATTTCTGTCTTCGATTACAAAGCATGTTGTTCCTCCTAGATAAG